TATATATATATATATATATATATATATATATATATATATATATACACACTTACAAAATAATAAAACAGTTTGTACCTTCATCATAACATCTCCAGGAGCTTTTCCCTTCCATTTTTGGGTAGGTGTCGATCAAACCAATAATAAAAATATCAGGAAGAGGCCATAAAGCAGTGACTGTCATAGTACTTTCCAAAACATCTTTAGCTTCTACTGATAAATATTAGACTGTTTATGGGGAGGAATTATTTACAGTTGCTTCATTTATTTAAAGTAGAGCATAGCATTATCAATAGAGCTGGTTCTCATAACACTTGAACACTTATCTACATTTTTTAAGATTAATACTTTTCTTAGACAGTTTATATTTATAATACTTTGCTCTTTCTTTGGAGTTTCTGTTTAGGATGTGTTATTTTGGAAATGTTCCTTTACTTTCTCCTTAACACAGCCTCGTGGAAGTGTTTGACCATAGTAGTTTAGGTATCTTTATTAATTTTAAACATCTATAACTTGTGAAATGGGTAGCCATATAAATGTTATTGATAAATTTCCTTTTTGAGTGTATTGAAATACTTGGATCTGAATGGTGGAAGAGATTATCTTAGTGAAACTTAGTAAACCTAAGAAACAGGCCACATTTCAGGTTGTGCAATGAATAAAGTTTTTTCTGATAATGCGGTTGGAGCAGTGCGGTACAGGTGAAAATTGGTCCATAGTTTCCCTATACCCATTTAAATTCAAAATGGAGCTGGCTTATTTAAATAGACTTTCGGGCCAATTGTGTTATGGTGACGCTGATTTTCGTTTTGTTTTGCTGAAACTGTTATTGCAGTGTACAATTGTTTCGTGTACTTAAGTTCATAATTTTCTCAGCTTTTATGCATTTTTGTGCAGATACATTTGAAGAAAAATCTTGATGACTAGTTTTGTAGGCACAGTTTTTTTCAGTGAGAATTGTTTTGTATTCTCATTTTGTGTTATAGAATGCTAGTGTGATTAATACTAGCTTTAAGTTTAATTATCCAAGGCATAGATAAAGGTAAAACACAAATGTACTATGGCTTACCACTTTGCCCAGCCTGTTGTAAAACAGTTATTTTGACAGCTATGAATCATAACTTGTTCTTAGCTATAATTTGATAGGTGTTAATTAAGCCACAGAAAAAAATATATTTATTCTCTGCTCTTACTCTTCTATTGAGAAGGAACATTTGTTGATTCAAAGAACCTTACTATTAGTTTGTATAAATATTTATTATCAGTAAAGTTTAAAGTTAATAAGCAGGGATCTAATAAACTCTAACTCAACCAAATTCAGTAGGCTTGAGGCTTCTCAAGCTAAATACCAGCGAGAAAGAGAAGAATGCCTGTTTAAGCATAATTCCTTGTTTAAAACTTCTTCAAGGAATGTAATGAGACTTATTTGCGCTAAAGCAGGAAAAAAGTTTTTTTATTTTTTGTTAGGAAAAAATGTTTTTTAATTCCTTATTTTAGCCTTTCTAGTCAAGCTGCTGCAATTGGTAGAGAATCTGGAGATTGTCTATGCAACTATTGGCAAGATTCCCACCAGCCACTGCAGTTTTTAATCTGCAAAAATGATCATCTGTCTTGTCGCTAGAAGCGGTAATAGAGGAATATGTTGAAATACCTTTACAGGTTCTGAATGATGCTAAAATACATGTAACATTAAATTCTTAATTATATGTAATATCTACACATAATATAATTGCGTATGTATCTTGTATTTTTTTTTGAAAAGGAGTCCAGGACCCTGGCGGAAATAGCAAAGGCAGAACTTGATGGAACAATTTTAAAGAGCAGGCCACTCCGAATTCGATTTGCCACCCATGGAGCTGCTTTAACAATTAAGAATCTTTCACCAGTTGTTTCCAATGAGCTTTTGGAACAAGCTTTCTCTCAGTTTGGGCCTGTGGAAAGAGCGGTTGTTGTCGTAGATGATCGTGGTAGAGCAACAGGCAAAGGTTTTGTGGAATTTGCTGCAAAGCCTCCAGCGCGTAAAGCTCTAGAAAGATGTGGTGATGGTGCATTCTTGCTTACAACGTAAGTTTATTCTTTGCTACATTTGTTGTGATTTTATGTGTTTAAAATATGTACCAATAGCATCCTCAAGGCAGATCCTCCATCTAGAAATCAACATAGATGAAAGAAATAATCTGCCATAGGAACAAATTATCTAAGTTCAGAATATGGCAAGATTTTGTTATCTATAAGATCACCCTTTTAGATATTGACAAGGTTATAGGGAATAATGATAGCATCCTCAGTACTTTGAGTCTGCTTTTATTCCAAAACACTTCAGTGCTTCCTCTTACCATTTCAAAACTAGATACTTAAGCCCAAGAATCCCTAGAAGGGTGACCAAATCCTTGAAGCCAACAAGCAAGGAAAGTATCATTCAGAAACTAATAAAAGCTAATTAAGGATCAAATAACTACAGATACCAGCCAGATGGAAGGAGAGACATATTTGCAGAACTGTTTGGTTGATGGGTTGTGGTCACAGGGTGAGTTGATAGTCCTCAAGCAACCACAATTGAGGATGGCCTGCTTGGCATTGAAAGCATTAGCATATCTAGTAAATGATTGATTATGTGTTGTCACGTTGATGTTGATTCTTAGTGGCCACATACATTTTCTCCATGTTGTGTAAAGATTTGACATTTTCAGACTGACAGTATCACAGTAGAAATAGTCCTTGATTTACAACCACAATTCAGCCCAACATTTCTGTTGCTACGTGAAACATATATGAATTTTGCCCCATTTTACGATCTTTCTTGACACAGTTATTTAAGTAAAACACAGCTGCTAAATTAGTAACACGGTTGCTAAGTGAATCTGGCTTCCCCATTGAATTTGCTTGTCAAATGTCACAAAAGCTGATCATAGGACCCCGGGACACTACAGCTATCAAATATGAGTCAGTTGCCACGTGTTCGAATTTTGATCACAGAACCATGGGGCGCTGCAATGGTTATAAGAGCCAAGGTGGCGCAGTGGTTAAATGCAGCACTGCAGGCTACTGCTAGATCAGCAGTTCAGCGGTTCAAATCTCACCGGCTCAGGG